CGCTCACAAGAGCACATGCTCATGTGTGTCCATGTGCCTGGGAGTGTGTGTTCACGTGTGTCCATATGCACAGGAGTGTGTGTGCATACAACACAGTGGCACCAGGGTGAGAACATGGTTTCTATCGTTCCGACACCAAAAGCACTTTTAATCTACTCTTACATCACAAACCCTGCAGAGCTGCTTCAGCTACTGGAGAGATGCCGGCTCCACTGAAGGTCATACACCTCCCTCCATGTGCAAGAGTGTTCCCTGCGCTGCCGTAATCAGGAAAGACAGGCCACATGCAGAAGATGGGCGGGGCTTCTGCTTCTGAAGTGACAGGCTCCAAGGCGTGAGCAGTCTTTGCGGTGTCTCTGGGGTGGAACAACACTCAGTTTCCAACTTTCTTGAGAAATGGTGTGTGTGAGGCTCACTGGCCAGCAGGGCTCAATTCCAACAGCTGTCTCTCTCAGAAGGGCTCACGTCTGACAGCCTTCTCTCCCATGGCTGTCTCGCCTAGCAGGACTCGAATCCCATGGCCATGTCTCCCAGAAGAGCCCATGTCCCATGGTTATCTCCCCCAGAAGTGCTTGCATCTCATGGCTGTCTGTCCCAGAAGGGCTTGTGTCCCATGGCTGACTCTCCCAGAAGGGCTTGCATCCCACAGCTGTCTCTCCCAGAAGAGCTCACATCCCATGGCTGTCTCTCCTGGAAGGGCTCATGTCCCATGGTTGTCTCTCCCAGAAGTGCTCGCATCCCATGGCAGTCTCTCCTAGAAGGGCTTGTGTCTGATGGCTGCCTCTCCCAGAAAGGTTTGCGTTCCATGGCTGTCTCTCCTAGAAGGACTCACATCCCATTGCTGTCTCTCCTAGAAGGGCTTGTGTCTGACAGTCATCCCTCACAGAAGGGCTCACATCCCATGGCTGTCTCTCTCACAAGGGCTTGCATTTGACAGTTGTCTCTCCCAGAAGGGCTTGCGTCATGGTTCTCTCTTCCAGAAGGACTCGCATCCCATGAAGGGCCCGTATTTGGCAGTCATCTCTCCCAGAAGGGCTCGTGTCCCATGGCTGTCTCTTCTAGAAGGGTTTGCATTCCATGGCTGTGTCTCCTAGAAGGGCTCATGTCTGACGGCTGTCTCTTCAGAAAGGTTTGCATCCCGTGGCTGCCTCTCCTAAAAGGGCTCACTTCCGATGGCTGTCTCTCCTTCTACAATGAACTTCAGGTCTGTGGGCCCTTTGGTGAGGATGGAGGCCATAGGTGGGGGTAGGGCCTGGGAGATTTGCTGAGGTCCTGGGACCTCGTTCAAAGAGGTCTGTTTCTCCCCTCCAGGCTGACTCTGCCCCTCACCTTAATAAGCATTAGGTCAAGGGGACTCCCAGGAACAAGGTCATTACTGCTTCTCGTTGGACAGCTGGATGAGGAGGAGACTGCCTGAGCCTCCAAGATACCGCACACTCTCTGGGATGAGTGGAGACCCTGGGAAGAGCCAAAGAAGGGTTCTTCAAATGCAGAGGCATCCCTTGACCCAGGGGTCAGTGGAGAGGCAGGAGACACTGCTCTGAGCAGCTCCTCTGGACACTGGCATGGGGGCCCTGCCCCAGGACTCCTCCTGCATCTGCTTGATAGGCTTGGCCTCCAGGTAAGCTTCGTTTGCTCAGAATGCGGGGCCACCGTTGTGGGGAGGGGTGATGCCTTGACAGCCTCAGACACTGTGGCTCCACATGGATGCACCTAGGGTGCCTGGTCCTCGTGACCTCCACTCTCTCTCCATGACCAGCTCGGCCTGTTGACCAAGTAGCTCCTGGTCCCATGGAGACATGCCCTTGGGTCCCCAGGTGCTACTGCCATGGGCTCAAGATGAGACAGGAGGCCGCAGCTGCAGGAAGAGGCAGGCGTGAGGCCTGCAGAGTGTTGGAAGGTGGGGTTTTCCCAAAGACAACCAGGGTCCCTTTGGAGTCATCCGCAGGGGAGTGACACACTCACATCTGCTCCCCACTTGTGTGTCTGGGCTGAGGGAAGTGAGACATGGGGTGGGAATCCATGAGGAGCCATGATAACCTTGGTGTGAGACGAAGGCCAGAATGGAGGCTGCCTCCTAGGGGGAGTGAGGGGTCTGTGTTGGGGCATCTTAGTCGCAAGACTCTGAGGATCTGGCACTAACTGGATACCAGCCTCTGCCAGGCGTACCAGCAGGAGGCACAGGATGGGGAAGATGACACGTGTGACTGGGGGCGTGGCCCTGAGGCCTCCGCAGAGATGTTCTGCAGTATCTTGGACCTCAGGGTCTGAAACTCAAGATGGAGACTGGTGCTGCTTTCCCCTCTCCCTGGTGGGTTTTATCAGGAATCCTGGCCTGCCGTGGGTGCTGGCACACCTCTGGTCCTGGCACACTGCAGGTCCTGGCATACCGCAGGTTGCATGCATACCCGCCTAGGGTGAGGGGAGGGTAGCCCATGCTCGTCCACCCTCCATGCTAGCGCCCCTTTCTGGAATGCCCTCTCCCTTCCTACGACTGATACATGCACATTTCCAGGCCCATTTCAGAGAGGGCCAGGGACTTCCCAAGCATCCTTCTCTGTTCTGTCCTCAAAGCCTGGCATGGACGGCATGGCTGGATGTGGCCACCTGCAGAAACATCAGGAAGCCTCACTGCTTACCGGCTCGGGTAGAGTGCAGGGGGTTCTCTTCCTTTCCTTTGGAACGAAGCGTGGCACTTCCAGGGTGCCCACATGGCAGTCCAGATGACCATTGGTCAAATAAAGGGTGAGCTGAGTCAGGGCCAACTGGTCACTGTAGGAGAGGTTGAGGCCGGTTGCCCATACCTGATTGAAACAGAAGCCGTGGAGAGGGCTGAGACTAGCGGGCGGTGGAGAAATCCCTGACCCCAACCAGGCCCAGTGTGGCTGGCAGCTGTGGATGTGTGGAGAAAGTGACTTTGTGTCTGCTTCTCCCATCTCAACGAGGGATGGAGTCCAGCTCTAACTGGAAGAATCAAGGCTCCCATCAGAGGTGACAGAGGTGGACACACCTGGCCACAACAATCTGGAGGAGCTGCCCTGTCCCAAAAATTTCATGTAGATGGAGTTTTCCACCCGCAGCCTGCCATTCCTAAGGTGGTCAGTGCAACATGTCCTAGCAAGAAGACAAGACCAGGCAGGAGTTTGGAGGGTGGGAACTGAAGGGAGCAGTGAGGAACATGAGCCAGGAGGAGGAGCTGCCCACTCTGTGGGGTAGGCAGCGGCAGCCTCCTGGGGGTTTCACGTGACACACAGAGGAGACACGGGGGGCTTGTGGGACTTGGCTCTGCCTCCGTTGTATCATGAGTGGCAGGAGCATCTGGCTTGACCCCCACAGTGCCTCAGATGGCAGCTGGTGACACACCCTGCCCCACTGTGCCACAGGAGTACTAGAGGAACTCTGTGGTGCAGTGACAGTGAGAGTGTTCTGAGAAGTGGGCACGTGGGCCAGGAAGAGACATCGATGAGACCACCAAGCAACGCCCACTGAGTCCTTGGACAAGTATTTACTGAGCGCCGACTTGGGGTTGAACTGGCAATGGCAACAGCAGGTCGGTGCTGCCCCTTCCCTCTCCTTGGGCAGGTCAAGACGAAAGGCCCTTGCCATTCCCCATCCCACACTGAACCCAGAAGTGCCCCTAGAATCCCCCTTGGTCCAGTGTTCAAGGAATTGCCACTGTCCTCACCACCGGAGCCAAACGTCAACAGGCACAGGTGCTGCCGCCAAGGAGGCAAGGCCCCAACATGTACACACTCTGCTCAACGACACCACACACTAGAACAGTCACACTAGAACGACAATTCTACAATCAACAAAGTACTACTGAGGCAGACAGAATGCCAAGCTGACTGTGAAGGTGACACGTGAGCGTTACACAAGCTATAAAAACACACCTGGCCCCCAGGCATCAGGCACCTATAGTGAACTTGACACAGATCTTCATAATTACCTAAAAGAATAATAGCCCCATGTCACCGACGAAGAAACAGAGGTTCAGGGAGGCACCCAAGTCCACACAGCTAGGAAGTGGTGGTGCTGGGATCTGAAGCACTCTGCCTGGCTTGAAGTCTGCCCTCTCCCCATTGCCTGCTGGAGGGATGGACTTGATTCTGGCCCTGCCAACACTCACCCTGTGAGGACCCTCCGGTCAAACCGGAGGCTGACGTTGTGGAGGACCCAACATGCTCCCACTCATATAGCCCATGCCATGGAGACGTCTTGTGGGGCAAACATGAAGGATTGCGTTTCTAGAGGACGCGGTAATTAGCAGTAATGCATTTTCACTGTAGGAAGTTGGAAACACACACATTTTGCTTGAGACTTGATTAAACAGCTTCCCTCTTAGAAGATCTTTGCGTCCGCTCGCCAACTCTGTGTGCTAAAGCACACAGTACATCTGCCCTAGAGTGGACCCCGGCACACGGATCCAGCCGTGAGTGACTGAGTAAGCATTGAATGTAAATGGTGTCATTAGAAGAATATTAAGGGGTCGAGCTGTCAAGGCCCCTTGCTAAACTGAAGCTAATTTCAGGAGTCATATTCGCACAGTAATGCCCTTTTCTAATAGCAAATAAATCACATTTGCAACAATTGTTAAAAACTGACTGCCAAGTATCTGTTGCAGTGGTAAATATCTTATTTGTCAACTTAAAAATTTCCTGCCGGATGGGTGAGATGAAGTCAGATGGGGACAGCTTCTTCCCCTCAATCCAGAAAGTGAACGTGCAGCTCTCGATGTCAGGCTTTTCTCAGGGCTTCTATTTTGATGCCTTAGTGTCCTACGATCGATGGGACACACGTACAACAAACATGATTAATATTTGTGTGGTGACAAGGATTTTAACAGGAAGGCAGCACCGTGCAGGGAGAGTGAGAACCCGGGGTCAAAGAGTCTGAATCTGGTCCTTTCTGGTGACCTGGATGAGTTGTTTCAGCTCTCGCATTCTTGGGAGCCTGACATGTAGAAGAAGCTAACACAACCACACAGGGTTCTGGAAACAAAATGAAACACAGGCACCTAGACTCACCTTCTATGTGACAACATTCAACACAGATGCTGCGTGTGACCACTGAACACCTCCCTTTGGGGGGTGGGTCCTGGAGGTCCCGGGTTGGTGGCCCTCAGCTCTTGGCTCACCTGTTTGACAACTCTGTCCAGCAGCGGGTGGGTCTGGTGAGGTTGGTATGACTTGATTTCCCTTTCACCAGTGGGGGTCCTGAGGTCAGAGTGGGTTTCACATCTGCCTAGGACCACAGAGCACTGTATTTCTACAGCCATAGTGCATGAGCTTCTGTGGGCAGCCCAGGCCCTTGGCTCACAGGCAAGAGGATGGATTTTCTGGAGCCTCTAGCTCACAGCAGGATTGCCGGATTTGCTCAGATAACTGCCGTGTTCTCCATCTGTTTTTTTCCACTGAGGACACCGCCCGAGGCCCATTGTTTTGTGAACAGGGCTCCTCTTCCCTATGGACTGTCGGCCCTTCAGGGAAGCTGCCAGGCTTTTGTCCTCCGCAGGACCCAGTGTTGGGCAGGGCCCACAACGGGCGCATTGTGACCCTGATGTGTCCCTGGGACTGGGGACCAGGGTCTTTAGAGGCTGGTTCCAGAGGAAAATGCATAGATGCTTGCGGGTACCTTTCCTGTGTGCCCCAAGTGCTCACACTCCCCACTCAAACTGCCCTTGATGTGGGACTGTGATGCTTTCTCCAGTGCTGAGTCTCTCTCAGCACTGGCACCCCCGTCCCACTTTGGGTGGGCAGTGACGGAGGCCTGTGCCAGGGTGCCGACAGTGTGTGGGTAGAGTGAGTGGGTTTTACAATGTCTGGGTGCTGGCCTTGGCGTGACTTGCTTATGGTGACCTATACTGACTGGCTGGACAGGTTACCTGATTAGACGTGAGGGCAAGGGCACATCATCACTGAGGTTAGGCTAGTGATACCCTGAATGTCCCCTGACACCATCAGTTTCCTTTATAAATGGAGCAGCTCCCATGGGGGGAGCCACACAGTCTGCCCTGGGCTGCAGAGCCAGGTGCCAGAGGCCACGAGAACCTACAGGTATCTCAGCTGTCTTTCAGAAATCACTTGTCACTGGTTGTTGGATTGATACACTCAAAAATCATTTTGTTAAAAATGGCTAGACTGCTGGGGAGATTTCCATCATGGACTTAAGAGCACGAGGAATACAAAAAATATTCACCTTAATAGAATTATTTGTTTTATTGAAAAACTGCAGCTGTCTAACATTTTGAAAAGATTATGACACATCCCAGTGGTGGGACAGTCTGTGACATTGTCATGAGAGATAGCAGCTATAGATAACTTTTGATGACCTAGGAAGATCTGCAAAACAACAAGAGGAGGACAGAAAGTTAACTGCACAACAGGGCTTTGTAGGTAGAAAAAACTAATGAGAATGTAACAGTGTTCCCCGTCAACATTAACACTGACAGATGAAGCTCGCTGCAGTTATAAGTAGGGGGTCACACATACCCGAGACCTGCACCAGCGAATGTGGTGGACGCTCTCTTTAGAGCAAGACCAAGCTGCGGGGCCACAACTCTGGCTGGGCCACAGAAGCCAGGCCGCCTGCCGCTCTCCTGGCTGCCAGGGACACCAGGTGGGTGGGCCAAGGCTCCCTCTGTCCTTACTGCTTTAGCTAAGCACAGAGCCAAGGGCCACATCTGAGTTGCAACTGTGGAGGCTGGGAGTTCACTGAGGGTGCTGAGTAAAGAGCTGTGGTTTAACCAGGGAAACTCTGGCTGAGGAAGCAGGGTCTCAGAGGGTGGAAACAGAACTCAGGTGGGAAGATGCGGCAGACGTTGGCGTGAGAGGTGACATGGCTGAGGCATATGGCGATAGTGCAGGGTGGGAGAAGTGGGTACGGACGCTTTCAGAAGTAGAACCCAAGGGATGGTCAACCCAAGGGATGACAGGATGGATGAGGGTGTGAGGAAGAGGGAAGTCACAGACATTCCTGAGATGGCTGCCCTTTCCCGAGGGGGGCACTGCCCAGGGTTAGCTGGAGGGCATGCCAGGCCTTGGTGGCTGTGGAGTGTGAGCTGCATGTGGAGGGCATTCTGGCAGGTGGCTGAAGCCTCGGCACTTTTCTCCCCTCTCAGTTGTGATGTTAGGAGCCTTGCGTGGCTGGGTGTGGGAAGAAGGCAGAGTGTCTGTGTCTCTGCCCCCACTCAGAGGCCTGGGGTCATGATGCTCCTTGACTGGGAGAGGTAAGGTCTGAGGGACCCGAGGCCTTCCCTAGGGGATGGAGGCGGAGGCCAGGATACCATAAGGTTGGAAGGATGGGTTGGTGCAGCAGGGAGTGGAAGAGACAGCACTGGAGGGTGACAGCCCTGGCAGGGCTGGAGCTTGGTAGGTGGGGCCTGCTGGACTGAGGTGCACCCGCCACCCTGGGTATGTGGCCCTGCTGGGTGCTGTGTGGCCTGAGGCAACCTCCACCCCTCTGGGCCTGCTCTTTTTCTGTCAAAGGGGGCCATAGACACACACCTGTTGCCGACACCTCCCCCATCTAACTGTGAGAGTGGGCTGGGCAGGGGTCAGAACTCTCTCAAGGCTCTTGGCTTCCATGCTCTTGCTGCTTTCAAATGTAGGGCACACTGAGTCCCCGGGTGTCACTGGGAACCTCAGCTCTTGGAAGGGCAGGCAAGGCCTTCTTGGATGGCTACTAGCCGGCTGCCCTTTCTCTCCCACTCAGGTCACCGACTCACCTGACAGCACTGAGTTCTCCGCCGTGGCCAACAACACACTTGAGTCTTAATTTTAAAGGTGCTGGGAGACCGCACAGT